CCTTTAATTAAAAAAAAAAAAATTATTAAGGTTAATATTTTTTTATTTAATATTATTAAAGCTAATTTATTATTAATTTAAAGTTAACACTTAAGCTTTAGCCTTAGGCTACTAAGGCTTAGTATATTTTATTATTATATTAGGTTATATAACTTAACTAGGTTATTAGTATTTAGGGTCTTGGCTACTAGTTAAGTAAAACTAAAATAAGCCCTAAGTATAAACTAAAGTAAAAACCCGTGCGTAAAGTATTTAAACCTATATTTACTTTTTAGTTAAAAATAGCTTAAGCATAGCTTAAAGGTTTATAAAAATAGCCTTAAGGCCAGCCTTTTTTAAGATTTTTAAGTAATTCTTTTAGTATTATTTAACAGGGTTTAGAATACTTTATTCTTATTAGTTAGATTCCTTTATTAATATCTTTATTATTAGTAGAGATCTTCAAGACTTGTCGGTCTTACATAGTTTTAAAATTTAAATTTTTTTAAAGTATAGGTTATTAATATTCTTACCATGTGGATATATTAATAGCTTTTACTTAATTATTATAATAAATATTTAATTTATATTAGTAAATATTAAATAAATATTACCTAAATAATTAATACTATATTTTTAATAAAATTTATTAACCTATAAATTGCAAAAAAGTTAACCTAAAATAACTAGTTAGTAACTAGTAGCTAACTAGTTAATAACTAGTAAATTATACTTACCTTTTATAAGATTTAAATTACCTATATTTTAAATAATAGCTTAAATTTTTTTATAATATATATAAGGCAATTTTTCCGGTGCTAGTAATAGGTGTATATACTTTTTTTTAAATATAAAAAAAATAAAAAAATATTTTTTAAAATTATTTAAAATAAAAATTTAAAATTTAACCTGGTATTTTAATAATTTTATAAAATATAACTAGCTATAAAAAAAGGCTTTAATTAATTAATAACTAGTTAAAGACCTATTAGGGACAAGTTTAAAAACTTATAGTATTTTAAATATTTTAATATTAATAACTAGTAAATACTATAATTATAGGGTTAGAAAACCTTAGGTCTTTTAAATAATTACTTTAAATAATTAATATTTATCCCTTATTTAAGTGCTAGGGGTGCAAAGTAATAATTATTTAAAAACTTTTAATTTTAATTATAGTAGGCTATAAAAGTTAAGATATAATTAATTTTTAATTAATAGCTAACTAGTTAATAACTAGTTATATATTTAAAAAACTTAAACTTATAAGTTCCTTAATAGTAACTTGGGGCCTGCAGGTTTTATTAAATATAAAATAAAAAGGTACTTTTTTATTACTATTAAATAGCTTACTTATACTTTAAAAATAACTATTAAAATAAGGGACTAGTTAGTTACTAGTTAGGTACTAGTTATAAATATATTACTTACTTAATAACATTTTTTTTATTTTTATTAGTTTTATACGCCTTAAAAAAAGCCTAATATTACTAAATATTTTTCTAGCTATTATTATTAAGCTTAAAGTAATAAAAGCTTTTAATATTTAAATAAATTATAGGGCATATTTAAATCTTAAAGTATTAATACTTAATATAAAAATATGTTTAATATAAGTAAGGGTTAAAAATATACTTTTTTTAATATTTTTAATAATACTTATATTAAATTTATAACTAGTTAGTAATTAGTCAGGCACTGGTTAAGCTTTAATTATATATATATATAATATATATATATATATATATA